AGGGAAAAGGGTTTGTGAATCTTGTGAAATGTGTGAAATTTCAGAGGAATAAGAGCTGAAGGGTTTAGGATGATTTTGGTAGCTTTGGAGGGGGATTTTTCAGCCGGGTTTTGCGCATCTTCGGATTCACTGCTTTGCTTCTATATCTTGTTTAGGTAAAAGATTGATCGGTCATCGTCTTTTCATTCTCTGTTTTCGAGTTTTAGTTGCTATGTTATTGGCTAATTATATTTTACATAGTGATTTGATGGTACAATGTCTTAGTGATGCTTTACAATGTACCACACGAACCTTGAGTTTTATGGAGTTTATCTTTGTTTTTCTCTTTGGTCCTTGCGAAACTATGTCGGTAACAGTTGTTTATGTAGCGTAATTTATAATGGACTTGAGTTCTTGTTTGGTTCTTAGTTATCAACGATAAAGATGTTGAAAAGCTTGATGGTGTCAAAACATGAAACTGAAGCCGTTTGTCAGAGAAAACTTACAAACATGGCACAAAGCTCATACTTGAAATTTGACAAACTCATTGTCTTCCATTATTTGTTCTAGGTTTATCCTTACATCATAATATATAGTTAAGTTTGTAATCAGTTCTGCTTAAAATCAAGGGTCGTAATCAACTCTTCTACCTTTGCAATTGCAAGACTTAGGTAATGCTTATATTCGTCGAATATGTATATGATCACTAGTATTAAGTCTAAGTGCATACTCTGAAGTAATAATGAAAATTGGAATGGCCAAACAATCTTTTTTCATTCGTGCTAAATTTAAATACTTTGGGTTGTTTACTTTTCACCTCAGCAAAAATATCAAAGTTTTGGGTGAACATCCTTCTCTATCAAATGAAAATTTCATTTTGATGATGTACATTGTAATCAGTTTGCCTCTTTGTGTTATCTACATCGACTCGTATGTTCGTATGAAGTCGTATGTTCGTATTGATAATTGTATACAAAAGATCAATTTTGAGTTGACTTTGACAAATACTCAAACAACGATGGTTTGAGTCTTGTGCTAAACAAGATCTGAAGTGTGCCTAAACATAACCCAATTTTGCCGAACGAGCGTTTGTCCAGTCGATGATATACAGAAGTCTGTGACTGTGAGGATCAATAATGCATCAAGTAAAAAATAATTAAGTTTATTTCTCTATTTTACTTAACTCTGCACATGACATGACTTATCAAATCAATGTTTCTTTAGTAAAGCTTCTCGTTGTTAGGTACATTACAGACAACTATCACATGCCTTTTATTACAGTAATACTATTTTTTTGGTTATTGGTGGGTATTACAGTAATATATAAACATAAACCTTAGATCCATTGAGCATAACCAAGCAATGTATCACCAATATACGCAGGATCTACACAAACGACGCATAGCCACATAGGTGGGTCTAGCATGGCCGGCAACATGCGAGCATTGAATTATTATAAGATATTGCATGGGTCTCATAAGCCTGATGTGTTAAATAAAATCAATATTTAAGTACATGCATCCATGTAAATAAATCTATATGAACTCTAAGATTTTTAAGCATATAAATTAATTATATAATAGAATTAGGAGAGTTAAAGGAGTACCTCCATTCATCATGATGAGAAGTATTCTTTATATGGTTGATTTGATTAGAAGATAAAGTCTTGATCTTTGATTAAGACTTAAGCTTTCTGTCCCCTTTCCTACAAACCTATCTCTTATGTGTTGTGTAATTTTGTTCTCACTTTGATCACACATTTATGATGGGCTAAAGGTAAGTATTTATAGGAGGAGAGATGACCTAGTTCCTCATTAGGATTTTGATCTCAACCATCCATCATGGTTAGAGATTAAAACTTGTACGGCAAGTGTTAAGTATGCCTCTAATACATGTCATGGAATTAGCCATGAATGTTACACATTTGTCTCTTATACTTAACACTTGTTAGAGATTAAAACATGTAAAACAAGTGTTAAGTATGGCTCTAAATACATGTCATGAATTAGCTATTAGTGTTGCCATATGTCTCTAATACTTTACACTTGTCTCTCTAATGTTTTTCTTAATTATGAAATTAAAACTTCTTAATAAT